TGGACCGGTGTGGAGTCACGGCCCTCGAAGTCATCGGACCAGAGCGGCGCATCGTGGAAAACTTCGGAACGGGAGAACTCCGCGAGATCTGATCGTTCCGAGGAATCTCCTTCACGCAACATTTGCTGTACGGTGTGGCCTGGAGCTCTCGGGACAAGGAGCTGTTTTCGATAGCGGCCTTTCACGAGTCACGAGCAGAGAAGCCTTTGACTTCTCGCTCGCTTGTGCGTTAAGACTGAATAAAAGTCGAAGATAACGTCATGTAGCGTGTGACTGTTGGTGTCGATCGTGTTCACTCTTCGTGGTGAAGCGCGCGACGGCGGCTTCGACAATCGGTTCGGCTTTTTTTTCACTCGTGCGACTCCATTGTCTAGTTTCTACACAAAGCATCAAATGAAGCGCTCTTTAGGGGTGTCCTGCATCAGGGCGAATATGGAAAAGGAGAGCGCTACGACGAATAGCAGTCCGAAGGGAAGCGACCCAACACCACCACCTTGGAGCCGATCTCAAATGGCAGCGGCACGCGCAACAGAGAACGCTCCCTCGGATGGATCGCAGGCAAACGCTCTGGCGGACTAGCTTGCCTGTCTGCCTACTTACCAAGTGAAGAGTGAGTGAGCGAGCGTACGACCAGCTCCTGGCTGCTCTCTTTCTCGCTCAGTCATTCGCTCACGGGAGCTCTGGCAGCCTGAACTTCTGAATGTGACACTTGGGTGCTGCCCACAACTCCCAGACCAGCACTGTAATAAATGGGATTCACCGTGGCCAATAATAATACACGGAAATCGCTGCCATTGAAACATTGTCATTTGACTAGTTCCATCGAAAGCTGCGAAAAGTGCTTCGAATGAACGAAGCAAACGATTCAAGGTTCGGGGTACATACGGCGCACGCGCGAATCCCTCAGCTTCGTGGTCGTCGCAAGACGTGAGGAAGACTCAGGAGGCAGCTCCACGGCTATTCGGATGATTCGCGCAGGGGACGTGATCAATCGATATGAAGAATATTTTTTCTATCATTCGTATACTTTACGCGGATAACTGAGTCCTTACCCGGAAGAAACCGCATGGATTCTCTCTCATCGAGAGCCCTCGCTCCGGAACCTCTTATCACCTCTGTGAGTGAGCAACTCAATTATTCCGCCCGAATGTCCAACTATCCGACCGACAGCGTCGTTCCGTCCGGCGGGGTGCAATTCGAAAATTTATTTCCTCTCGTTCTGGATCCGCTAGTCGGCAGATTTTCTGTTCCTTGCTCAATGATTCTGTTCCTCTATTACTGGCATGGAGATCGGATCCAGATTGGTCCGCGTCAGCCCAAGGAAATGTCAGACTTTTGATGTGGATCAAGGGCAGGCCAAGGGTCAGGAAAGCGGTGATGTTGCCGTCTCACCATCGCTCCCCACCGTTTCCGCGAATGTGAATAGTGGACTGTGTACTCCAGCCGCGGCTAATCGCCGGGAATAGGATCAGAATCGAATTTCTCAAGATCCAGTGTTCTCCTCATTTGAAGACTCCGTCGACTCTCGATTTCATCAGTCAACACTTCTGGGAACATTATTTCACGGAGAGAGCGGGGATGGCCTCATCCCCGCTCATTTTATTTTAAACTCATCCGTGGGGTCTAAGCGTAATTCCGCTGCACTCTCCCACCAACAGGACAGTGCCTGTCCTCCGAGGCACCCTCGTTCGAACAGTGGGTGTCACCAAGCTTGAGATCATATTTACCTCAATGACTCGGTCGGCCGAGAGGACAACCCGTTGCGATCCTGAGGAAAGGAGGAGGACGAGGGGTCAGAGAGACACATAGAATGATAGCAGGAGCAAGGGGGAGAGAGGGAGTATTTGGTGTCATGGAGGAGATCGAGGATGGCTCGCCGTGGGTGGCTTCAGTGATGACTTTAAACAATTCATCACCAAGTCTCTCCACCAGAAGCAATAGCAGTAGCGCTCGACGCCTCCTGTCCTCAACAGATCGCGAGTCGCACAATTCCCACGAACACCGATTCCAGTTCCCTCTTTTTTCATCCATTTGGGATGCTCTGCTGCATCGTCGTCGACTTCGGTTGTCATCCCGGTCGACCAAGCCGGGCCTAGTGGGTAATGAGTGTGCGCGGCTCCGAGCATGTGCAACATAATCGTTCGCGTCCAAATCGGTCGGGAGCAACACTCGCGGAAAGCCCGGGCGCATTGGAATCCCTCTCGACGCCTACAGGGAAACCTGGGGACACAGAGGTAGCGGGGGATGGGTTCAGAGATTCAACAGTCAAGAGAGCAGGAGCGCGAGCGAGAAGAGCAACAGTGAGCGTCCGGTGAGGTTCAAGTTTTTCCCGCGAGCCACTACCGTCCAACAACAGTGCGGATAATTCGGCCGTCCGGTCGGCTCAAGCTCTTCTTTATTCGAAGTGGAAAGTTAGCGGCCCTCCCGTGTGTGAGAGGAGCGGATTCGAGGGAAGGTTAATTTGCTCTCAGCCGCCGCCGTCTATCCATCCGCACATCTAGAGAGGGGAACGAACGGCTAGCGGACCTACCGGTCGAATAGCTAGGTAGACCGAGCGGCCGGCAGTCAGTCAGTCAGTCAGCCAATGGTGGTAAAAAGTTTTCGTAGATTATCTTCCTTTGCTCTACGACGACGACGACTACTACCTCCGGCGCCCTTAACACCGAGAGCTCGCTCCGGCGCTGCGGCCACCGACGGCGCCGCTCCGTGGTGGGGGTTGCTCGGCAAGAGCTAACTAGCCTGTCTGCCGGGAGGGCAAGATCGGGAGCGGAGGGATCTGGAGGCCCTTGAAACTAAGAACAAGATAGAAGAGAGAATCGCGGGAAGAGAGCGCTTGAGGTATACTCCGGTGCGGCTGCAAATGAGTGTCCCATCTGTGGAGTTGGTTCGATATTTCTCCGGGCTGACTTCGAATCAGCAGCGGACTCGACGGTACGACGCCCTCTGCCCCCTCCGGTCCCGAAAGCTCCTCTCGTGCTTTCTCTCAACGGGAGGAGGAGTATATCGCTCCGAGATCTGACGACAATTATCGGACCATTGGTAAAATACTATAGGTATTGGTTCGCCAACCCCGAGCTATATCACGAGGAACAGCGCGTAGCTGATACGACGGCATTGAGAAACGTGCGGCGGAACTCGAGATTGTCTAGTTTCAGCTCGTTGGAATCACCCCTCGCAGATCCCGAACGCCTGACGGAATCCTTCGATTGGGAATGAAGTATTCTTCTTTCACCCTCTGAGCGGAATTCCCGCATTTCCGAAATTCGCCCCGGCGCGGGCGCGCCTGATCCACCGCCAAGCAACCTGATGGTACGAGCGCGGTCACGTAATCTAGCGTTGAATCTCTACCGAGTTCACTGGCTCTTAAGGGCGAACTGGGGCGACTATCAAAGTCCGGCCATGAAGACGAAGCGGGGCAAGATAGGAGAAGCGACTGAGCTCTGAGAATCCCGGGAAGAGATCGGACCACACCGAGAAGGGACGATCAGGAACGACCATGGGAAGAGGATACAGCACTTAAAAACGAAAATAATCAGCAGTTTTTGTCTGACTTGCGCTGCAACGCAGTGATTCGAGGAGTTTTTGTGTTCTTTGTTTCTGGTGTGTTGCTCTTTGGCCAACAGTTGCGCTGTTCGCTGCAGAAACGCTCTTTTCTCGTTTTCCGAAGCTTCGGAATTCGGCGAGTCGCCGCCGCCGCTGGAAGGGAGGACGGCTCAAAGCTCCGAACAAAATAGAGCTCCCTCATCAGAGAGTCTTTTTCGCTCCGGCAAACCATCTGGGAGGCATTTTTTCCCTGCTCCTTCGCCTCCTTTGCTCCGAAGCCCGGCCGACGTAGAAAGCGGATCCAGATGTTCCTTATTAACCTCATCGATTGGAACGAAGTTGACTCCAAATGATGACGACGGCGATGCCGACACCGAGAGTAGAAGCGGTTAAGAGCTAAGCGGACGGGAGCGAGCGAGCGAGAGTGGAATCCTCAGAACGGGGATTGGGACCGGGGTCGGCGGCAGCGTCGTCGTCTGCAGCGGCAGGAAGGCTTGGCAACTTTTCGCGGGAAAAAGCCGGCGCTGGCTGATGATTTCGTCGTTTCGAGAAGCCTGAAAAAAATACCAAGCAAAAATGGCAAGCCAAGGAAAAGGACGGGGAGTGGAAAAGAAGAAGAGCCATTTAAGAAGTTTGGCGACACCTGGTGACATCTGGAGGGCAAAAAGCGAGAATGCCGCGGCTCCCTGATGCTGTCGATTTATAGCTCAACTGTTCTCGGTATGCCGAAGCCAATCGACGAAGACGACGACGACAACGACGACGGACTGGCGGAGAAGTTCAGCTCGAATCCAGTGCACGTCGGCTGCACGCGTGTTTCGCACGCTCCGAGAACCCACCTACTTGCCAACATCCAGCGTCTACCACCCACCTACGTTCAGCCAGCAAGTGAGTAAACAAGCGACGGGCCAGCAAAAAGCCAGCGAGGGGTTGCCGACGTTGACGGCGAAATCCTATTGGCGTTCAGGAGACGTAGCTGGCTCCTCCTGTCGTCCTTCGCGCATCCTTCATCGACGGGGCCGGGCCCTACGAGGCCACTGCGTTAAACTCGCATTTGGGCGGTGCTTACTCCACCTGAAGCTCTCTTTCACCAGCGCCACCGGGCTCTCAACTGTTGCTCAGGCCACCCAGTGAGCTCCCCGGCTCGCCGGGAGAGCATTTCAGAACTCAGGAGAACGGGGAGGCGCTCCTGAGCCCCTCTCCCTCTACATATCCCTTTCCCAAGGGCTGGACTCCGAGCTATAAAAGTGATTCTACGTAAGTTGCACGTTTGTGCAACGTGCTGAACTCCGAGGTGGAGGATGTGCTCCTGTGCTCCTTGAAATCACTCGTTCCCTCCCTCGACTCCGTGTGTTCTGACTGATCGTTTGACTGACAGACGGTCGCGAACTTCCACGCAGACTCTGACATTGATCAACTGGATCGGAGGACCCGTCCCGGCTGCGGGTTCAGCAGCGATGCCGCGCTGTTACCTTCTGAAAAAGAAGGCCGCGGCCTTGCAACTGAAAGGCCAGAGTCCAGAACTCGCCGATTACATTGTCGAAGAACCACCGTCCCCATCCGAAGCAGAAGTCGCTCCTCAGAGTAAGTGCCTAGATATGAGGAGGAAACTAGGCAGACACCTCAAAGTGACAGCAAGGTCGATCGACGAGGAATCGATCCGTGACAAGTTCCGGCACTGGCCCTACTCGAGAAACAGAAACCCAGAGGTGAAGTTGGGCTCGCGTTTCGTTGCCAAGACCGCCGTCTCTTCCCGCGATGGTTCGTTTCGGGACTCGATAGATACAATGGATCATGCATCCGAGAGCCACTTGAGCTTTCCCGGAAAAGTGATATTCGGGCTCAATTAGTGTGCCATGCAAGTTTGGTAACGATGACGCACGAACGTCGCTCTATTAGCGCCGCAGGTCTGATTGCTTCGGCAACGACTGTGCAACGATTGCAGCGAGTGCCACCAGTTCCCAGCACAGTGAGCAGCAGCAGCAGCAGCAGCAGGGAAAGTAGCATTGATTAATTAGGAATATGTTTCCATTGTGGCCCCGAGCGGTTTCTTCGTAAATCTCGGTCCCGAGTCTCGTGCGCTCCCCCTCTGGTCCCTCTCTAAAATCAACTAACAACATCAAAGACCAGCGGGGAGCTGTTGCAGGTAGATCTTACCAAAAGATAAGAATCCCTGCTCCAGCCTAGTCCGGCAACACGAGCCGTAGCCTAGGGTAGATAAGGCACGCTTCCAAGAAGGACTCTCAGACAGGGCACCATGCGAGTAGTACGCATAGTCCTGGTGCATGGTGCCGTCGCGAAAACTCGAGTCTGTGATGTTCCGATGTCGAGTCGGGCTAATTTTGGCGGAACCCAATGGCAAAATAGACCGGCGTATGGAGCTCTGCTCCTCAAAACACGTGTCTTGCGTCTGTTCTCTCGAGGAGTCCTCCGAAACTTTTCCCGGATAACAAGTGCTGGAATTCCGGGATGATCCGAGGATTTGTTTTAGCCGGGATCAATTTCGATTCCGATTTGGAACACCGCGGGGACTCCCTCGATCCTCATTGTCGACCGCATTTCTTCGCTCTCGCGAGATTGTGTCATTTTGCCGGTCACATCGGATTACCGAGCGGCAAATCGGAGCTTGAGACGAAGCCCAATCGATATGAACATGATGAGGTCACTCGCGCTATTGAGAGTGCCTTCGGCAATCTCTCTCTTCCCCCTGGACCGAGGTATTCGATGCACCTAGAGTATCCGCGTCGAGGATGAGGTTAGCCAGACTATTGCGGTGGTTGCAGCAAGCCTCAAATCCCTCAAATTAGCTGTGAATAGGCGATAAATCTGCTCTTCGACGCAAGCTCGATTGTCCGACTATACTTTCGCTGCTGCTCGTTCGCTTTCCCGGTTGGAAGAGCTCGGCAGTTCCCACACAATCGCACTCCACACATACGGACACATATATAGGGGATTAACTGGCCATTCGACTTAATTGTGATGCAATGTCAGTCCAACAGCGACGAAGCAACTAGCCAGCTAGCTCGAAACAATGTCCCCTTGCAATGTCATCGTCTTCCTCGTCGTCGTCGTCGTCGTCGAAGACTTGGGGACCAGCAACAGAGCAGCGGCGCGGCGCTCACGACCAAATATCCGGTTACAAAGGGTGTCGCCACGCATGCACAAAGATATGGACAGGCCGAACACAAATGGATAGAGTTGTATGTCGAGACTTACATCGACTCGAGATACGGTGTGTGAGTGCGTGTGCGAGTTCATGCACCATGTGTGTGAGGAAACGAGCGTGTGTGGGGCGTGCCATAGGCCAGCCTTTAACAAAAGCCAGGTCTCCATTAGGTTGTTGAATCCTGACTCCTGGCAATAGCCTTGTGTCCCAAGAGCATATAAATCTCAACGACGCTCCGAAATCACTAGTTTTGCTCGCGAAGGATCTGTGCCGCATCTATGTGGAGGCCACTCGATCTTGAGAGCTGCTTTTTGCTTCGGCTATCGGATCTTTGACTCAGATATAGGCACCGATCGGAGGGAGGGGGGAGGGGGCAGGGTTCCCGATTGGGTGACGTCAGGCTGCTTCTGGCCAACTGAATCCAGCAATCCTGCGCATGAGGGAAAAATACTTCCGAGAGAGACCGAGTTCCGAAGTCCAGTCGGAATGAGGTTCAAGGTCAGACTCGGAATTCATCGGGAAAACGACCCGGAGCGCAGGAATAAACGTCGAGTGCTTTCTGGTCTGGAGCTGAGCATCCCCTCGCTATCGCATGCGACGCTGTTGTCGGACGGATTCGAGAGGAACGAGTTCTCCGAAGTTTCGAAAGAATTTAAGGAACAATGAGGAAGTTCGTGAATAATCTACGGGGTTTAGCAACAGCATCGGGACATATCTTATGCAGACCCACGCATCGACAAAGGTGTTTTCGAATCAAAGCTTGGTGGGTGGATAGGCGGGCGGCAGGCAGGCGAGCAGCAGGCCGCACCGAGTGAGCGAGGAACACAAGTGCTTGTTCTTGGAGTGCAAGTCTCCTTCCAGTGGAGATCACGCTCGTTCATTCGTCCTTTCAGTCCGTGTCTAGTCGATGCTCGCTCGTGAAAGCTTTCTCCTGTGAGCGAGAGTGAGTGCGCGCGCGCGCGCTTCGTAAATAAAACTCAAATTTAGTCTGATTCATAGCCGTCGATTTGGTTGATCCGAACGCCTCAGGTGAGATTCTCTCTCTTTTTTCGTTCACTTTAGTTTTCCGTACCTACCGCTTAAGGAAGCTCGACAGTCCTGGGGGCTCCTCCTCCGGAAACTCAAAAACTTCCCCGCTCCTCCGGGAGCTTCTTGTCGAAGAGGCAATACACCACAATAGAGCGGGAAACCTCCTTGGAATCGCCCGTAGCTGTCATCAGCTGCCCTTTTCATACCCTTGTCTGTGTATTAGTTTCGTCGAGCCTGCGAGTTCCCGCAACGGAGGCGGACAGGGAAGCGACTGTTTTGAAGATGACAACACGAACACGTACCCCGACAGCCGACCACTGCGAGTTTCGAGGGGAGGAGACTGTACGGCAGATGGCCTCTCCGATGTTCTCCAAACACGAGGAGAAGCTGAGCTCGCGTACACTTCAAGCCCGCTCACGATCAACAGTAGTAATCCATTTATGATTAGCCTTGGCGCCATCGATATAATGTTGCTCTCGATTCAATTAAACGACGCCTTCCCTACCCACCTTCGAGTGAAGATTTGATCCTTAGCAAAACAGTCTACATCCAGCAAGAATAACAGTAGGCCTCGTGCCTCGCACTTTGTTCAGTCATTCCCCAATCCACCGACCGTCGCAACCGACGACCCATCGGATCACTCATTCATACGTCCATCGCCCCTGGATTCGAGGTGAAAATTCGATGAGAGATTTTGAGCCTCCTGGATTAAATACATTCGAGGGAATCTCGGCATCTCAACGACTCGATCAGGCTCCCCGGCAAATCCCTCTATCGTCCCCGAATCCCACGAGTGCTTTCTCCGCAGTTTTTGATTTTCTGTTCGGGCATCCACGAAATAATGTATCTACATTGAATTCGTTCCTTATACTTGCTGGGAATGTACAGTGTTCTTTGGCTGGAAATGGTTTTTTTCCTTCGAGGGCTTTGCAGGCCTATGCGGCGCAGCGTCTGGCCTTCAGATCCGATCGAGTGAGCGTCTGAACCTGTGGGCTAATGATGGTCGTGTCAGAGCCTCGGGGTGTATGGACGGATGAGTCAGGCGAGCAGCGCGTTCGGATGTCTGTTTGGTGGGAAGGCAAAAGTCTCCTTACGACTTGGACGCCTCCGGCCGTAGCCATTGGGAGACGGCCTCCTCTACGGCATTGCATAAAATGACAATTACAAGACTGGACGATCCCTGATTCCGGCGATGACGTCAACACAGACCGCGGAATCGCGGTCCGTGGTGAGGACGTTCCGACCCAGCGAAATCAAATGGCCCTTACCGAGCTTACAGGTAGCTACGGGACGAACGACATTCCACGTAGGGAGGACGCGCCGGCGTCACCGGTGACGGAATCTATCATTTTCAGTCGAGTTGTAAGCGTTACGGACGAACATTAGCGGAAGCCGACAGAGCGGCAACACCTTCTACCTGTTATGACGCCACTCGAAAACTACTGAGCGATTGAGAGCTGGCGGCATTCGGTAAACGTGAGCAACACGACGCACGTGTCGCATAGCGTGCGACGGGTCGAAGAGTTCTCGCCGCTCCGTTTGTCGCCATCAAACGGGTGTCGAGCGTATGAGCGAGCGAACGAACGGTCGGTCGAACAAACGAACTCGGAAAAAAACTCGAATCGATCATTTCAGCAGAAAGTTCACGAACGTTGACCGGCGAGCGAGCGATGCAAACTCGGCAGGCGACGAGGAAGTTGACGAATTCGTCATTGACCCCTCGGGTAACGGAGACGGCAATGTTCCACAGATGGCATTTTCTATCGGATGCGAAGTTGCGTTGGTGTAGACTTGTTTCCGGATATCGGATTCGGAGCCGGTCCGGATCGAGCTCGATTCCTTGTGGGAAAAGAAGAGAACAAATAATTCTATACGGCGTGTCGTGTGACTTTCGTCGGGTCGATTCCAATGTCATTTCGCTCGAAACACGGGGCGAGCTATCGACGTTCTCGAGCGCTGCCAACTGTCACGGCTAATCAGAGTAATTACGTAGTGTCGGAATTATGTCCTCCGTACGCTTGTACATTTTTAATAAAACAATCATTCATTCTTGGGGTCGACTGGAGAAATCGCGTCCACATGGTTCGCCACCACCAGAAACCATGCGGAACGTCCGCACATTCGAATTACAGCGACTCTCAACAGGATGAGGGGATTTCCATCACGATCACGGTCGTCGTCGCCACCGCTCACTTGCTTGCTTGCTCGCCTGTTCCGTCAGTTGGATGCGCGCTCAGCCGGGGGTTCCATCTGCTTACATCTCAACGCCTACCAAACTACAAAGCCACCAAACTCTGACCCAGCCGTCGACAACTTACCGAGCAAACCAGGGCATAGAAATCGAGTCCGACTGACTCTTCGCATGCTCGCCGACTCACTCTCGCTGTTTCGCTCCCGTGCCCTCGACCCTTTTGCCCTCCCGGCGCCCTCCTGGCCCCCCGCCTCCTACTCGAATCGTCGGGTTTCGCGTCCCTCGACCAGAGTGATCGGCTCAGGCAGCCAAGCATCCCGATTCGATGATATTTGCGCGGATTCGTCCGAAATAAAAAAGCTCGGCTTTAAATACTGAATAATATCAGACGAAATCTGCGGTCAACCGCTTCCCCGGCCTAAATCAAATCGATCCACGGACACCGGGCGGCGCCCGCGGGGTTGCGGCTTCGCCTCCGTTGATATATCAGTGTCAAAGGCTTGATAGAGATCCGATCGTCCCACGACGCCTGAAACATTAGAGTTTCTATTAGTAATATTTGAAGTTTTCGAAAAATATCATCATCCGGTGTTTCGAACCGTGACTCGAGCGCTACCTGAGCAAAATCGCCAATGAGAGATCTTTCCATTCGATGCTATCCTACCAGCATGGCTACGAAGGCCGCTGCCCCTCGCATAAACATAGTCGGCGGATTTTGTGGCCGATCGTGTGGTTGAGGTCATCTAACGAGGCCGCTCTCCATGAATTGTGAGGGACTGGAACAAGTTCCGGGGGTACGAATGATTTATCAAAAAAAAAAGACGAAGCGGCGACTCAGCGATCAGACCACCCCTGCGCAGTGGGGTCGAGAGCTGAGACCGATCGGCCGCAGACAGTCGGGGCTAATAAAGACGGTCTTATTGGGGCGCTCCGGTTGACGTGACGCGCTCGCACGATGCTCTATGCACGGCTGGTTATTCCGCGCAACACCTCCTCGAACAGGAGCGCAGGGAATTCAAACGCTGTGAAGAGCAAATCCCTATATTTGCTCGCATGGTTTCTCCGCGTACGCGCGCGTCCCGTCGAGGAGAACAGGCTCGTAATGGGCGAACCCTTTTTAACGTGATTAAAAGCGCTCAACTGGAACTGCTTGTAGATCATTGCAAAGTAGCAAGGCAACCTGCTCTCTCGATATATAGTGACACACTCGCTGGGATTTTCGATGAAGCGTATCCGGTGAAATTACGACCACCAACTTTCAATTTCGCTAACAGCGGATCGAGCTCGTTGAGTCTTTTTGCTAAACGATCCGATGTAGTACGTCGGCGACGCGTCGTCATTAGTAAATCTGCAATCCTGCCGAGAATCTCCGTATCATTCTCTAATAATAGAATAATTAACTCTACTATGAGAGAAATACTAAAGGGAAATATTTTTCTTCTCTCCATGCAGATGCCAACGACTCGAACGATGAGGAGATCCAAGTCGACGATTCCACGAGTCCCATTGAGTTCACGCGGGCACGATCGCCGTCGTCGCCGCGTTCTACTCACAGCCCCCGCAGCGACTCGCCTGCGCCGTCGAGCAGGACCTCACCTCCGGGCGGACTCTTGCCTCCCGTGTTCACACCGCTACATTATCCCCGTTTCACGATCTTCAATCCAGCGTTCGACATACATCCCAGCGCTCTCCGGAGGGACCCTCCCACCCCGTCTGCGTTCTCATACCCGCCATCTTTCCAGGATAGCTACCATGCGATAGATTTATCTAGAAGTTCCGCGTTGAATAATCTCGCTAGTTTGAACAGTCTGAGCAACAGCCTCAGCAGCGGGTTGTCCGGTCTACGGAACGGACTGGACGCGAAACTGTTCGCCAGCAGCGGGAACGGTGCCCATCTCGACCACCATCTCGGACATCACCGGCATTTCCACTCTGAACACCAGAATGGCTTGTCGCTGAGCGGCAACGCCGGCAGCGACAGCAATCATCACCACCACGGCCACGACCACCACCATCATAGCCAACATCATCATCACCATCACCACCACCACCATCAGACTAACAACAACAACAACAATAATTTGAGCAACAACAACAACAACAACAGCATGAATAACAACAACAATATCGGGGAAGACGGCGACGACGACGACGATATCATGTCCGACGACCAGAAGGATGAGAAAAAGCCCAAACTGCCGGCCATGTACAAGCCTTCGGTTACCGTCAGCTACACGTACGACGCGTTCTTCATCTCGGACGGACGTTCGAGGGGCAAGAGCGAGAAACTCAAGTCGTGTAGCACCGACGCAATTCTAGGAGCTGCGACTCCTCAGCAGAAAGAACAGAGCAAACAGAGGTATACTTGTTCAGAATGTGGAAAGCACTACGCCACGTCGTCGAATCTGTCGCGACACAAACAAACCCATCGGAGTCCCGACTCGCAATTGGCCAAGAAGTGCCCTACATGTGATAAGGTATACGTTTCGATGCCGGCGCTGGCGATGCACGTCCTCACCCATAACCTGCAGCACAAGTGCGAGATCTGCGGTAAGGCGTTCTCGCGGCCATGGCTTCTCCAAGGCCACATGCGATCCCATACGGGAGAGAAGCCATTCGGATGTGCTCATTGCGGAAAAGCGTTCGCCGACCGTTCCAATTTGCGGGCCCACATGCAGACGCACTCCGGCTTCAAACACTTTCAGTGCCCGCGATGCAATAAGACGTTCGCCCTGAAGAGCTACCTCAATAAGCACTATGAGTCTTCCTGCTTTAAGGACTCAAACTCCGGTCCATCGGTGCCCCATTCGCCCGTGTCGTCTCCGTTGTCGGTTTCGAGCCTCATATCGCCACCTACAACGCCGTTACCTCTTATGTTACCGCCTCATCCGCTGATCCCCTTACCGCCACCGCCGAGGACCGTTGAATGATGTCTTCAAATCAATGCCGTCAGAACCAGAACGACGACGACCTCGACGCCGACCATCGATCGATCGTCATCAACAGCTACGAGTGACCGTTGACTCTTCCATGCGTTGTTTATCGAGTCTATGAATTGTTTTCTTATTCGTCCGTCGTCGATGATGGGCAGCCAAGTCTAGCATCTGATAGTCTCCGTTCGATTGTGCGCCGATCCGTCAACCCGATGCGCGCACGGCGGAGACCATAAGTAAGTCGCAAGTGCAACGACAGGGGCATATACGATACTTGTATTCACATAGAGCGGATCATGAGGAGATTAGTTGTCGTTCTGGTCGACGGGGAGGACTATCGGACGCTCTTTTTGACATCGATCGAGCTTATCGAGCCTTGTATATAGAGTAAGTTTATTATATACTTGTACATTCAGGCCTCATTCGGTATGTAGAACTGAGCTTTTGGAGCCTACCCGGGTTTGATGTCGAATACTCGCTCCTTCCGGCGAGAGATCTCTCTTTTTTCCCTCGGATTTTCATCTCTCTCTCCCCCAAACTTGCCGCTCGCTTCCTCGCTCTCCGAGGTCGGCGAGCACATCGAGACTCCCGACACCTGAATCTCCGGGGGATTACTGTTGGAGAAGTCAGCTGGAAAAGTCATTTGTTGGTAGTCCTGCCTACCCACCGACCCTGGCTCAGTGGTTGATCCCAAAAACGAAAATGACGAGGTTTCACACAACGAAAATGATCATCTTTACAATCACCTTCTTGTGATCCCCTACCCCGTGTAAATCATAGGTCACACGGTCGTTGGGAAGATACCATCACGACCAGATGCTCTCGAACTTGAGAATTCAATCGGACGGGATTCGGTACTGCGTGCCTGAACACCGCGACCTTCTGAATCGAGTCCCCCCATCACTCAATCTATGCAAGCGAACGAAGTTTGTCGACTGAAAAAATGGAGCGCGTCGATCCGACGCAGGCATCGTCAAGATCACAACTTGTTCACACAGAGATTTCGAATTCTCAGGCCCAGATCGGATGGAAGCGTGGTCTGATTGGGTGCGATTAGGGTACTTCGCGGTATTTATTCCCTAGAGAGATGCTTTTCGATCGCCAGCGACGCGCTCTTTAGGCGAAATAGTCTGTTTATACATAAAATTCGAAGGCCGGAATTAGAAATCTCCCAAACTAAATACTTTTTCGGATACTCGCGGTACTATCGGTCCTCGAGAGATGGGACGGGACTCCACTCGTTTACCGAGGCCACTTTTTGTAGAAAAAATTGCTGAAAAACTCTTGTTCAATCACCGCCGGCATGTCGACCCAGTGTTTTTTACAAAAAGCGAAACGAACCGATGTTACACCGAGCGAGATGTCGACATCCTTGATGATGGTCGACCTCGTTCCTTGTAGAGGCAACTTCTACTCATTGTCTGCCCATGGAGATTCATTCTCAGAAACTGAAAAAATACCAACTCATAAAAATCCATGCTGGGGTCGGCGGATGTTTTTTACTCGCTCACAACCTTTCCCCTCAACTCAATCTTGGATCCCGTTCTTCATTGACCTTCCGTTTCCTTTTCCCTCTGTCCCAAGATCAAGTTCCGACAAAGCTCTCAGGGTTTGGTAGGCCGGAAGCGGAACCCAAGAGCTAGGATCGCAGTTCCGTGAACGTTGTTCCGAACTTGAAGGCCCCTGATGCAATGATTCCACAAACACCAAGCGATTTATCATGATAGACGGAGCAATAATTCTGATACGGTTGCCGGTTCCCCGGACAACGATGCGAGCTTTCTAGCCCAAGAGAAGCGGGAGGAATGTACGAATTTCGCTGGAGTTATAGTTATTCTCGTCGCGATCGGATAGTCAAAGTACGAGCTGCACACCGATTCGGTGCGAATTCTGAACGGCTAGAGCTAAAACCGTGTATACTGAAGCAATAAGGAGATTATTCCAACGGTGTCGATGAAGACGCCAGAGACGTGAAGAGAAGTGTGTGTGTCTCAGTCCGTGTAAGCGTGTTGTCTGCATCGACCTCGAAAAATAAGGGCGTGCAGTGTAAAAAAACTCTGTTTTCCCCCCTCTGTGAATTATATATGTCTGGCTGCGTGTAAATAAAATCCGATTCAATTTCGAAGGAGTACATCACATGGAAAATCATTCTCGTCCCGCATGTTCCCAATCTCCATCGATAAGGTACCAAAGTCCATAGGGAGAAGAGTAGGGATTTCGCCCGCGGAAACCTCTCGATCTCCACAGAATCCTCGCGACTGTGAGAATCGCTAGTCCAATAGTTCGGAGAATCAGTTCAATCAACCTCAAGGCAGACGGACCTAATTATCTCCTGTTCGCATGACGATCGTAGGCCATCGCAGAGGAGCGAAACCTGGCGATGCTCCCGAAAATTGCAGTGAAAAGTTTCTCATGGCTCGAGGCTCCCATTGTCACTGACTTGGTCGCCTACCTGCGCTACTACTCCCACTCGCGCGTCTCATCTCGTGACAAAATGATTCGGGCCATCAACTCATATCAACGCTTCCCACATCGGGATTTACCTCATTTCCGAGAATTCCCTCAAGCAGTGACGGTGAACAGCAACCCCAACAATCACATATAGCCGCGGTTTCTGAGGAAACTTCGCCGCGAATTAACGTCAACCCGACTCCTCTCCAGTCTCATACAAGTGAGTCATCTCTTCGTCGCTGCCGCTGCCGCCGCCGCCGCTTTCGTCGTCGTTTCCGCGACCACCTCCACCACCTACTACGACCGCAAAGGCACTAGTCCATCCAGCTCCATGCATTCACAGGGACCAACGAGCTTGGTTACCCACAGCTCTGAGTAGACCAGTTGTTGGACCACTTGCGGAAGTTGTAAAATACTATTCGGGGCTTCTCGAGTCATTTCCGCGACTGCCTTCACTATCAATTACGATCACTGGCTTACCGAGTATTATCAGAGAAGATATCCGAAACCACAATATTCGCTTTACAGCAGCGTCGTGGCTCCGTAACGAACGCGGGCGTTCCTTGTCCCGCGCACCTTGGATCTCATGGAATTTATTTTCAGGCGAAGAACCGTTCTGAAAACTGAAATTAGATCGGATGATATTACGGATTTCGCGCATTCGAGAGCCTGACCCCTCGATTGCGGAATTTTCCGGAAAAGTCGGAATCAGAGCGGAATATCGTTTCCAAGGAGCGCGTTCCCTACTCCTGGTGGGAGCCTCGTTCTTAATCCTCAGACGCGCGACTTGTTCGGTAATTCTTATTCGTCATCCGCACCTCACCATAATAAACGCCGAGAATCTAGCTTGTACAAAATGTGACCCCTTTCCGGTTTCGCCCCCCAACCTTACCAGTACGGATGATCTCACGTGGACGGTTCTGAATCGAGAGGGATCGAACTTCGAATCCGAGCTCGTTGAGTGCGTACTCGCGCGTGTGTTCTCACTGTTGCTAGCTTCGTTGACTGTCATTATACAATAATTAGCGTCCCCGCACTAATGAAACATCCCATACGGGTAAGGTGCGGACTCATGAAGGGAGCTGCCGACAATTCAATTAAAACATCATTACATAAATGATCAGACAATCTGAGAATGTACTGTCACTTGATGTACTTGACATCGGATGCGAACGTCACACACCTACCCCCACTAGACGCTGTTGTCAAAGAACCCATCTACCTGAGAGCCGTGGAGATCTTATTCATTTAGCTCTCGAGAGAGTTCGTTCCAACCTGAACGCCACCGGGCGCTGCGATTTGCGTCGCAAGCCACCACTGCCGTAGAGGAACTCGACTAGGATTTCGTTGGGTGGATCAAGCTAAATATCGTTCTCCCCGGAACGGGTCCGGCAATCAAGGAGGGTGGCTCTACCGTTTAACGTGACACAGAAATATTTTCCGTTGTTGGAATCGCTGCTCCGGAGCGAGGAACTCCGATTCAAGCCGGAAAGAGGAAACCGGAAGGCCTCGTCGTCGGGATGCTAAGCGAATGGAAATTCTCGAATTGATCAATTGAACGGAACGAAAGGAACTGACACAGCGCGGATTTCACCAAGACTCGCGAGATCGTCTGAATCTAAGTGAGGCGATCGAAATATCTAAAGAGATATAGGTTTATGTGAGGTGGCAGAGATTCCGAGCTTCAACACTCGCTCGCGGGCCTCGGACACATCGACACATTGAGCACCTACTACAACGGTCGTCGCCTCCGTTGTGACTCTTCCGCATGCGTTCGATCATCAACATCGCGAACCGCGCGCATCCGGAATGTTTTGAAAACGTCGCAGACGTTCCTGCATTGTGTCCAGCGACCGTACACAAAGAATTCCTCAGATGGAAATGACCGACGAAATAGTGACCCGAGCAGTCGGTGCATCTTCTGTTTCGGAGCTCGACGACCCCGTGCTCGAGAATCTCGTTGAGATTATAGACGCTTTCAACGAAACTTGGACGGATTTGATCGAGAGCTACATCGACGCAACTGACGACGACGACGACAGCGAGGGCGCTTCTTCGTCGGCAATCGACGATTTTGCAGACGTATTGACGGGAGCTGTTAGCGCTATCCAACAACTGTACATCAGTCATCCCGACAATGCACAGCTGAGACTCTTGAGCACGATGATGTCGAGAGGCAGACAGTTATCCGAGAGCGGTCGTTTCTCTAGAAGAAATCGTCATCTGCCACGCCGAAATACAAGCGCAGCGGAAATCAGAAGCTCGAGATCGAGTTGTGCGATCGAGGATGACGATGATAACTCGGATTTTGAAACGATTTCCTCGTCCAGAACGTACAGCGTCAACGACGTCGATGAAAGTGAGCAAGGCACCGATCACGAGTCTCGGAGCGATGGGAATTCGAGTTTCGAAATGGAATCCGATCTCTATTACTACAGCTATTTATCGATGAGTGATCTCGCTTCGGACGGTGCGTCTATCCACAGTTGTGGTGAGTGCAGAGACTTCACGATTGTTCTCGACCGTTTCGAAGTCGTAAAGAGTGATCGATGTCATTGATCGGAGAAAATTCCTTCGATGAGGGCCTCCGTCGAGAGGAGGCCGATTATTTCCTTTGGATTCACTGTTCCTCCCCGATTCGAACGAGTTTGGATTATTGCAGATAGCAGTTCCGATGACGATGACTTTTCTGATGAGGAGTTCATGGATGAATCCGAAGATTGGACAATACCGACCCGTCTAGCCAAAACATGTCATGTCCTCCAGGAGAAAGTTGTTCGACAAATGCTCAGGAAGGACTACGAGCCGCAGTGGTACGACGTAGTAGATCTGGTGCTCGAGAGCGACGAGCAGAGTTCCAAGGGTCCAGCAGAGCCGGACTGCCTAGACGACTACAAAATTATTCAGGATCCGGCAAGAGATTTTAGTAAACTTATAAACAAACAGCTTTTACGCAATGAACGAGCCCATATAATCTCGCTCGTTCAAACCGCCCCAGAATCCACTCGGCTCGAGATTACCGCTAACACGTTGTTCCTACCGAGGAATCTCGAGCACTCAGACGAGGACCGACTGGATATGGGTTGAAGCGGTGGGCAACCTCCTTATACTTGAAGGTAAAAATTAAAATTTATTTCGACCCGATGTTCGCGGCCTCGTCCGAACCCCATGCATGGACTCTATCGAATGCGAATGTCACCCGACTCTCTGTATAAAATGTGTAGAAATGAGACAACAGATACGGGAATCGAAAATGCGAGAGAGTGGAAATGGATCTCATCATAATAAACTTTGCAACCACTCCTTACTCGGATGTCTTCGTCCTCTCGTCGACATGACGAAAACAACAACGAGAGCAAGCTGTAAACTGGGCGGATCGGTCGGATCTGCCCCCGCGGGTCTCCCAGCGTACGATCAGCATCGTGATACAATCGAAATTAGTGTTTTGGTATTCTAGGGTCGGAAGCCGAGACCGAGGCAAGTGATTCCACTCGTATGGACAGCCTGTGGTAGTTCGATCATCCTTCTGTCTATCTCGAAGTTCGTCCAGTGGTGCGGGTACAGGGATCGTATGTGGTGTAAATCACTGTGTGAGTAAAAGTCAATTGACGCGAGTCCATCAAACGCAGTCTGAATCCAGGACAAGAGTCGAGGAGTGACTGACTGACCGCCCGCCAGCCCGCCCGCCGGCTCGCTCCTCGGATCGCCGGTCTGCCTGCCAGCCTGACAAGAAGTGGCAACTGCTTCCTGTGACTTGATTAGAGCAGGAAGAACCGGTCATCGTTCCCTTATTGAATGAAACCCAGAGTAATGGCAGCTGAGAAAACCTATGTATGACTGCGGTCAGCGATCCAACTCTTTGAGCCATCATTGCTGATTGAAACCGCTCGCTCGAACGCCTATCGAACTGAGTGTCGTGATCCTTCGATATCATTGGGTCCTGCGCTACGACTTCAAGTTTGGCATCAATCGGATAAATGACCGAAGGAACACGAGGCTCACCTGGAACAAAACCGCAATGGATAAGATGAATTTTCAGCTTTCATTTTCAATTCATCATCGAATTTCGATAACGATCCCCACCCGGAAATCCACTCTGCCCTAGTCCTGCTTCTCATCGACGCAAAGGTCGGGATTCGAGAGCCCGAGACATAGAGGTGGAGGAAGAGAGAGAGAGGGAGAGAAAAACAAGCTTGTGGGGGTTGAGCTATTAGCGCTGGTGCAGGGGATATGCTATTCCTCTTTCTTGCTGTGGACATCATTCTCCCCGTCCGGAAACTCGTCCTCTTCCTGTCGTGAGGGTGGTTGCAGCAAAGGACTCGTGCCGACATGTAGTATGTATATTTCTCTGCAGCCTTCTCCTATCCCAACTAGCTGTAGTGCCGGAGCGTTTACAACGTTTCAACAGGAATTATCCGCGAGAAAAAAACAGGACAGAGGATTTCGTCCGCGGATCTATCAATTATACATTCAGCGACACGACGCACGAAACGGCTCTTCCCCCCTCGGGGGCAGCCGAAGAATGCATGATCGAGGATGTTCTTCTTGTCGCTCCGCCGGGGAATGCTGGCTGTTGCGATGAAGGTCGCGAAAAGTTTCGTCGCAACGCCGCGCCGTCAACGGACGCAGCCGGAGACGATTGCGCTCCTTTGTCGGAGCTTTGATGCGACCTCCGACCGTAATCGAACGATGCTGATTTGGTGTGTTTTGACTAGCTATATGGCAGAGCGCAGAAACACCATATCTGATAGGTTTTGTGAAGCGCCTATCGTGGGTCAGCTGATCTACCGATCGGACCGAACTGCGGCGGTCACTAACCCAGACCAAGTCTGGGAGCGAGGCATTAGAAATATTTGAGAATCAGCCAAGCTTGACAGGACACAAAGCAGAGAACTCCTCTGGGAAGCCAATTACCGAATGGTATTCTTCGCTCAACAGAACTGTGTTGCTTTTCGCGGACCGTTGCCGACCGACCACAAGGTGCTTGCTCGCTTGCTTGTTAGCTGGTGGCCAGCGTCCCGTACGAATCTTGTACGAAAACGCTCTCGCGGGAGAAAAATTTCAGAAGTCCGATCGCGGCACGAGTCTACCACGCGAAATCCGAGACGCCACGCCGGCGAGAAGAGAACGATGCGAGAGAAACAAGAGACGGACTGAAAAAGCGAAAATAAAGCGAGCAGCACGCAAAATCTTGAATGGAAGCGCTCCGCCACTTCAATCTCAAGAGTACAGCGGCCCCACGTTTGCTGTAAGGTATAAAATAGACAAGAAATGCTCGACGCGCTCCGAGTCAACCCCGAATTCGAACTGGGCATCCATCGCAAAACAGCTGGCGGAACTGTTGCTGCATATTCATGGCGGGCCTTTTTTCGCACGCGAACGCGCTCGAGTCGAGATTGTTTCCATTTCGGTTCAAACTCCAATTGGATAGATTCTGATATGGATCTATCTGAGATGTGCGCGGTACACCGGGTCGCAAAGCTAGCCGACCGCTGACTACACTCTCCGGAGGTAGGTGGGCTGGCGGGCGGTCGGTCGGTTGGGCAGGCGGGCGGGCGGCACCGCGACCACCGAGCGAGGCGCAGGGACGAGGAGATCCCTGAAAGGAATAAGGCTCACCACCGCACGTGAGAAGCGAACGTGCAGGGCCTATATCGTTCGGCGGCGGTCAGTGAGGAGTTGGTTCTCGTTGGGGCTCGGGTTCGCCGACTCAGGTAGTCGCCTTGTTGTCGCTCCGAGGAAAACGTTTTACGAGAGAGAGGAAACTTTGTCGTTCGAGGTTCAAGCCAAGACTCGCTAACTTTCATTCGTTGAGACGTCCGAATGAATGAAGGCGCTAAATACGAAAGCCCCGGATATTGTCAGCTGTTGCTGAATGCAAGCAGCGGCGACGACGAAGACGAGGAGGGAGCGAGCGACCGGAGGCGCAAGGTGGGACAGTGGCCCACGCGAGGAGAAAACGTTTGAACTAAGCTCCATAGCTCGGGAGAGAGCTTCTCCGAGGCAATGGGGGCATTTGTCTACATTTGCTAGCCCGGCTATCACAGCAAGCGTCTATGAGATGTTTAAGCAGACGATAAAAAGAAGCGTCTCTCCCTCGTGTCCCCACTCCAGCCCTCTTATCCAGCCCCGCCATCAAGACAGCGAGCAAGGCGGCGAGCATTGCCGCCGAGCAATGTCTGCAACACCGGATTACTTCAATGGGCCACGAAGAGCCCTTTGGGGCCGGCCAGCCGACCGACCGACCGGGCGGCCAGCCGACCGCCAAACGCCCAGCGAACCAGCACAACATTCCCACATCCCGCGAGCGAACCGGAAGTCGAGTCTATATTGCATACGCTCGTCCGCATACAGAGCCTCGAGAACGCTCCTCGCTGGGAGCAGACGGCGCAGCGGCTCCATTTGGTGCGTCGCTGCGAAGCGCCTCGAGTTTTGGTTTTGGAAACGATCATCGGGTTCGTATCTTTCGATTTCGCACCGGTCGGTTCAGGCTCGGGCTCGAGACCACGGTGATCGCTCCGTGGGTTCGTGTCGTTCCTGAGGTTGGTCAGCTGGATCCGGCTTTTTCGGCGCTGTTTCGTCCCGGACGTAGAGGAGCTCATGCCGATCTTGCTCGAGCAGCGCTGCAAAGTGCTCGATTTGTTTAAGATCAGCCACAGAACATGGTGTTTCGAGAAAAACGCGTAAACATTGTCTTTTGAGAAAGCTTCCGCATCGCGTACAGTCGTTGTGAGGGGAAAAACGTCGAGGCGGCCGCTTGCGGCGGAGGATGCCGTTCCATGTGCTCCGTATGACGAAAAGCTCAGAGAGGACGACGCGCCGCGCACTCGGGGAATCCACTCCATTAGCTTTCTGACCACAGACCCACTTGGAATAATTTCACTGTATGAGTGAGATCTGGAAATAGCGATTCCGAGTCCCGATCCTCCCCACAGGACTTTCAGCTCTAAGTATCCGCTTCGCGCGTGAGATTATCTCCGATGCCGAGATACGATTGGGAAACGGAGACTCGCGTAGGGGAAAACTCACAACAGTCAAGAGAAGAGCGCGGAGCCCGATCCAGGACGGAGCCTGGACCCCCATAGGAGTGCGGAATAAGAAGACTGCTTGCGCGTTGCGGGCGCGCCAGTTGTTGGCGGTCGTCTGGTTGCTGCTTCTGCTTCCACCGTTGGCGCTACGGGAGGAGACGTTGTTTTGGATCCGGCCAGGACTAAATGGACTTGCGTAACAAGTCAGGAGAGCGAAGCCGCTGAAGAAGATGCACTCAGTGAGCCAACGGACGATCAAAGCCAACGAAGCGGCTTAAGATTTATTGGACTCACCGAGAGAAAGAGCAAGACTGGCCGACTGGTTTGCCGGTCTGTCGGTCGGTCGGTCGTCCGTAGGTCCGCTTGCAAAAGGAGCTACTGGCCGCCGCTATAGCGCCACATCTACTTCGTGTTCCGTTCAAGGAGAGATGTTGCCAGCCGGGCGGCTGACGAGTGCGATTGGAGGGCAATCGTGACCCCGTCGCACACGGGGGGCAGGGGAAGGCTAAGTGGTCTTTGACTTGTTGTGGTCAGGTAGTGTGGTCCGAGCGAGACGACAACACAAGGGGAAAAATAATCGCTTTCCGCTCTCGTCGTTGTTGTTGCAACTATTGTACTCTCGTCTCTCTCTTTCCCCCTTGTCGAGTATGCCTACGAGGGCTGTCTTGTCGGACCGCAGTTGGCCGAAGTGAAATCGGTGCTGTTGAACGAGTTCCGTTTCGAAGAGCTTCTCTCTCTAAAACGATCGGGGTCTTCACGAAGCCCGGAGGAAACAAGGCCCGGAGGTTGGTGGAGGAGAATCTCGGCTTCCCAACCGACCCGCGGTTCCTTCATGACCCAAAGTGAAATATTTCCCCCGGAAAGTCCACGCGACGGCCTTGCTCGACTTGTTCGCGCGGGGCACGGCGGAACGAAATAAACCCAGGTGACATGCTCTGATGTGATTCCGTTTAGCGTTCCGAGTTGTGGGTATGCAACCGTCTCCTCGACAGTTGTTCGCGCGGCACGTACTTTTACGTGTCGTGAAAACACCACTTGCTGCGACTTGTGGCGGAAACTTTTTCCCGTATCCGAGCAACACAGCTCGGGCGGTCGGTGTTTCTCGCAGCCAGCCCGCGTGCCAGGGAACTAGCCAAGAAGCCCCTCGTCCCGAGTCCACCGCCGCCGCTGCTGCTGCTTCTGTGACTTTAGGCCCCCGGAGCCGTAGACGTCATTGTAGAACTCGTCGTTCACGGCAACAACACCCTTCGAAGATCCATTTCCTTAAGGAGCA